ACGCCCAACAAAAAAATCCTAGCTAAAAGCCATTCCGCGTCACCGAGTGGGTTTTTTCTCCATGTTTCTAATACGTTTGAATTATTTAGAAGAAAAGAATACCCCAGTAACAAAAGTTCTAAATTTTTCAAAAATTTGAAAATGAAAATTTGAATATATTTGAATTCATTTATATATTTCTGAAACATTTTGAATGTGACTGTACAAAGATCTCTTTCTTTAGAATAAATTTGAACTACCCATGTGTTTCTTTCACAATTCGAAATATTTAGAACTATTTCAAACAAATAACCAAATGGTAGATGTGGGTAATTGCCCCCATAAAAGTGGGTGCTAATCCTACTCTTCTGTCTTCCTCTGTATATTTTTAGATTTCACTGCTGGACACTGGTGGCTCTTTTGTTGTAAGGCATCAATGCCTGACACCCAGGCAGTCTACCCTGTACTCCACAGGGATGTGTGAATTACTTCCTTCCCATCCCACTGACCTATTTACAAAATGTTAGAAATAATTCGAAATAATGGTAAAAAATGGTAGAGTGCTGTTAGAAATATTTAGAAACTATTGGAAATGTCATAATCCACATCAGGAATATTTCAAACGTTTTAGAAAACCAGGGAATTATTTAGAATATTGACAAGATGTTCAAATTATTTCCAAATTATGAAATTTCTTAGAGAAACAATTACAAAGAATTGAAAACATTTCTAAATAATGACAATAACAACCCACTCGGTGACGCGGAATTGACTCTACAATAACGTATTTAGCAATTGTCTTCTAAGGTCTAGGCAAAAATTGTTATGTTTGCTGTTTTAAGTCCTGAAAAAAGGTAGGGTATTTTTTTTTTCTTTAAACTTTGGCAATCTCTAGTTTTTTAGACTTTGGCAACCTCTGGCGATCCAACATAATACAGTTTGTGAGTTTAATCACTTCAAGGTAAAACTTGCACACCAGGACAATTATATTTTCCATGTCAATGTTGGAAAACCGATTGTACAACATTTCATCACTCAGGTGTCAGATCATGGAGCTAGAAAAGGTTGATCAGCTTGAAAAATGTATGTCCCTTGCAGGGGTCCACACAAAAAAGGCTAGGGTCTGCAGTTTTTTTCTAGGGTTGGTCAGGAAACAGGAAACAACATTTTTTCCTAGGCCCAGTTATAATTATATACATCAATGACAAGACAAAATTTTGATACTTAGTAAAACCTGAATACAGATAAGATGAGTAACAAATACCCAATAAGACACAGGAACTAATTAACTGTTTCTTACACCTGTTCTAGTTCATCCGCACTGTTGGTGGAGCGACAATAATCTGTTGTATGCTGGGATTACCAGGTTATGCAAATGAGCTCCTCTGTGCGTACCCCTACAGGTAGTGTTTCACCCCCACGTGAGGAGAATGAGATATTCCGTACCTGGTAGTTATCTCTGACGTGGATTAGGACAGTGGAAAATCCTTGTATTGTCATCAAGGCGCTTCTTAAATCTTACCAAACATGACAGGGTGGGGCGAGCGGCTTTGGGCTTTGAAGGTTGTCACAGCAGTGAGCACAGATTCAATTTAGGGTAATTTCATTAAATCCCAGCAAAAAAACAACCAATGATCTTGTGAGGCGGCCAGAAAATTGTGAAACAAGAAAAATAAGATACAATGTACTTCTAAACTAATTTGGTATACCAGGACAGTACACTACAGTTAGGACACTTTCAGCAAGTTTCACAAATAACTTTTCAATCTTGGAAAGAACTTTCAATTTAGGGTAATTTTATTAAATAACGGAAAAAAAACAACCACTGATCTTGTGATGGGGCAAGAAAATTGTGCTATGGAAGCCTTTCAAACAAGAAACATAAGATGCTTTTAACTAATTTGGTACTTCAGGACACTACACTACAGTTTAGGACACTTTCACAAATAGGTAACTTTCAATCTTTGAAAGAACTTTTAAAAAGAGCATTACTACCTCCATTGAAGTATGGTTTAGAAGTTGTTTCAAGAACAAATATTTGTAATTCTATCTAAAATAGAATAAAATACACTCTAACTAGAGTTATATTTTTATTGATTTTGGTTATGACTCTCATTATCAAGGTGAGTGACTCTAGTGTGCTAGGGCAAAGGCCTTTTCCGTGTCATTGAACTAAACACCCAATAAACAATATAATATTATATCTGCAGTTTATAAAGTGCAGTTCAATGATTACAACTACATATTTATGATTGTTTCATCATAACTAGTTACCATAAAAACTTAGCTACTCCAGGTAAATTCACACCTGGCCAAATGTCCCCCCAACCTTACCAAACCTCCAGTTCTGTACACTGCACAGTAACATTATATCCTACACAACACTCAAGCAACACGAAACAGTACAAAACCCCTCCACCCCCTCTCCTGCCCTCCCCATTCATACCCCCATGTACACCTTTGTAAGGATCAGGCCAATATCGTCTCACGTTACTCACTTGGAGCCACCCTAAACACATACTCCAGCTTACAAGACGCCTTGAGAACACTGTACAGGCCGGAAATAAAAACATGTATTCGTCTGCCTCCAGTAGAAGAAAAATAATCTCAGCTAGCATTTGGTCGGAAGAAATTTGTGTATGTACTTCTATGTAGCCATACAAAAAAAATTCTGCTGTGGATTCAGAATTAAGTTATGATCACATATTCACAAACTGTGGTAGTCTATTGTGTTGTCAATTATCCTATGTATGTGCCTTTGAATTCTTTTCTAAGCAAAGGCCATGCTTTTGAAGTTGTCCTCTTGAAAGTTCTTCCAATTTTTGCATAAATTATGGTAAATTGTAATGTAAAGAAGGGATTGCAAGAATAAAAGACATCATAATTTTCTGTTGTCAGACAAGGACTAAATTTTGTCCCTTTTGTTCAGTTCTTTTGTATAGATCTACTTGCCAACGGCCTTGAAGCAATTTTCCAAGTATGAGAAAGGGAGAGTCACAATGTTTCAAACCTGAATGTCAGGGTTCACAGCTACTGAAGAGAACTATCAGGCCATGTAAATAATACCTAAATGTAATCTGCACACCTAAAAGACCCGGCATATTTCACATTTTTCCTTAGTCGAGCTCAAAGGAATTTCCACCAACAAGCATGGTGTTTTTCTCAGCATGATTGAAATGACGTGTACTTCACAGTTTGTTCTCAGGCATTTCACACCACACTTAGTATTCACAATGGTAATGTTAACAGTTTATCCTCGCCAACTAATCTAATGTAACTCTGTAGCCCCCCAAACAGCTACACTTTTTATTCTGTTACTCCTCAGCAATTTTGAGATTTTTTAACACTTCTCACGTGTACTTCACAGTTTGTTCCCAGGCATTTCACACCACACTTAGTATACACAATGGTAATGTTAACAGTTTATCCTCGCCAACTAATCTAATCTTACTCTGTAGCCCCCCAAACTGCTACACTTTTTATTCTATTACTCCTCAGCAATTTTACGATTTCTTAACACTTCTTTGGAAAGAAAACTACACAAACCTCCGCCATTCTTGCAATTCAAAATCACAGAAAGAGTTAGTACAGAAACTAACCTTAGTAACAAGAAGATGTTTTTGTAGGGCGGCACTAAACTGGCTGTCCCCGGTCATTAATTTTTGGAACAAAAGCACTGTTTGTCCCAGGTAAAGAGGAAATCGCAGTCCTTTGTTACCTGGTACAAATTACTGTCCAGGTACATACATAACTACAACTAAGTAAGAAGGCCCCTAGGGACAAACTAGTGGGGCTATTGGTAAATGGGTCATGAGAACAATAGCACTTTACTTTCTATAGAATTGCTCATACAAGTACCATAAACTACTAGTACTCTGGGTCTGAAAATACTTTTGTGAAAGAAAAATTTTGATGTCTGTCTCTGTGTCATATTTTTTCTCTGTTCACACCTTTTATTTTTTTTGTTGCTTAAAGATTTTTTATCGATGATTTAGATACCATATATAATACTTTCAGAAAAAATCCATTAAAAGGCATTCAAAGTACTGTACTCTGTGGGGCACATACCTAACTTTCACCTGATATAAATTATGTAACTATACTAAACCATACATATGTAAAAAAAAAATTGAGGCCTACTCACCAATACAAAAGCTAAAAACAGGCAGGATTCTAAATACCCATTTGGGCACAGATAGAGACAAAACTACTGCTACCTCAACTGCCATAAATTATTGCACAATACTGATAAACAACGTATCAACTTACTTTTGCCAAAGACATAATTTTCGCACTAGGTAACTCTAGGGGCTAGCGGGAATGCGGTATGCCGTGGCGCGTAGCCAACGAGAATATCTTCCAAAAATTATGTCTTCTTTCCGTTATATGACCTAGTTGTAAACATGAAAACCTGACGGATTTGGAGGGAAAGGTTGGAGGAAGTGGCCCAAGAAACGTGCGATCGAAAGGACAAGTTTCTGCGGTTGGGAACATAAACAAATCGCCGGCGGGGTTGGCTCCGTATACGAGGAGGGGTCAAGGATTTGGGTAAGCTCAGGACTAGGCCGTTCTGCAACTTCTCAACAAAGAGAAATTCTAAAGAAACGTCAGGGCGAAATAACAACAGCAACACGGAGTTAAAAACAAGCTAGATTCCACACGTTTTGTCGGTAGTTTTCGGCAGTGAAACTTGCTGAAACTAAGCTACCAGCTGTGGTGTGGTGAAGTTGCCCCCCTCCCCGTATAACCAAGAAAATCCCAGCACAAATTAAAATCCATACGCTTTGAAAAATAAAGATATTTCAAACTAATATATACCTGAAATAAACGGCGGTAAGACCTGGGTTACGAGGACGATAACTTTAGGGAAAGTTGGAGAATATACAGTCGGTAGAAGAGGCTATAGCTGCCGTATAGCTGCGTGAGTTCAAACGGGACATCAACAACTTACTCTGTCTGTATCATACCACCAGTTGCACGCTACAAGACTGAGCTTATAAGAAGAAATCTCGCCCACATACCTGATACACCGCATCCACAGAGAAGTAGAAGGACTCCAAGAATCCAGAATCGGCCAGAAACCCCCGGTCGGGGCTCTATAGGCGCCATTTCATCTCGTTTCTCGACACATTTGAAAGTCCGTCCCTACTTCTGGACTCACGGCAGCCATTAATAACCCCAGCACTGACTCATTAGCCAGGCTCTTCCGCCGGACCACTACGCACTACTTTGTCCCAAACTGGAATTCACCTCAGTAAGAGGACAACTTCCCCCCGAAATCTTCACTAAAAACTCAATTTTTGTTTTAAATGATATCCCTTTTCGTTAAAGAAGAGCTTAGTCTCGAGAAGCCAGGGAAAATGTTGTCATTTGATTGATCACTCTGGCGGATGAATATTAGGAGTTAAAGCACAAGTCAGGATGGTTGAAAAATTACTTTTTGATGATTTTAGGTTGATAAATCGGTCATAAAAGACGTCAACTCGGTAGTTAAATCCATTTGCAGGTTTGTAACCGCCCACGTTCTCATTAATACCTTATGCCTATGGCCGATATCTAGATTTTCTTTAATAGCAGCACGTACTTGTGCCAAGTTGTCACCAACTCAGTGGCTCAATAGCACATTCGCACCTTTCATAAACTTTACATTTGGGATTTGGGCGGTGAAACAAAAGGATCGCCTGAAACGATCGCATTAAACTTCGATTAAATTTTGAAGCATTTTGCACTCTGCGTGGCTCAACAACGTTCTTATGCCTTTTGTAAATCTCCCAGCAACTTCCGTGGCTTCACGTTGCACGTCTGTTTCCTGAATTTACTCACCTGAAAGTTTATCTTTTAAATGGAAGAAAAACGAATTGAAAGCCAATACAAGAAAACAAACTGCCATCCATAGAATCAAGGCAGTGTGGCATAATAACATAACGTTACATGTATTGGTGACGAATAAACAGCCCGAAAACGCAGAATCATGCTTGTTTGAGGGCTTATCCAAGGTTCTCGGTCGTTAGTATTTAAATGGTGCAAAAGCGACCTCTAGCGGAATTTAGCAGCAATGTTTTTAAAGTAACATTTCTATTGAAGTTGGACCATTGGACCATGAAAAGCAAGCAACATTTAACGATCATCAACTTTACAAGAAGTTTCTGTACTGCATATACTGGCGGATATCGTATTCAACATGCCCTAATGTCTAGATTTTACTGAAGTCTCTTTTCTGTGGAAAGTCTCTATTCGACCTGACAGAGACAAGATACCGTTCCCTGGTCACAATGCCTTCCAGAGATGACTTCTCAAGTCCACGTCAGATTGCAGTACCTATATACTTCACTGTGCGGCGCTTTAGTGCCATGCAGTTGAGAACAGGTGCCACTTTGTCTTTTGATAACTTGCTAATGCACGATGCCTTTGAAGTTCGGAGGTGTCAATGCCATTTCTTTATGCACACTAGAGGGTTGATGGGACAGCTGTTTAGGATAAAAGTAGAGGAAATACTAGTATACACTTTTTTTTCGTCAGTGCTACAAGCTCTGAAACGTCTTTATTGCTTGAAAGACAACTCATCACCATTTACAGATTTATCTACTCTGTCCAACCTGAGAAATAAGCATTTTCTTCATGGAAAACCAAATAAATTATATCCACTTTTCACAACAAATAAGCATGATAACCATATATTAAGTGCAACTGATCAAGTAAGAACTCTGTGACTTAACAATATCAATGATAACTTCAAAACAGTTAACGTTACACTTCAAAACAGTTGTACTTCTAGCTATTTGCATTGCTTATGTTCAGTGAAGGTTTTCATTTCCAATAAAATATAGTCATCTGTATCTACAAATCAACAGAATTATATACTAGTAGTTGTATACTGCCTGTAAGAATATAATATCAGTAAAAGTTAGATATGAATAGTTGAAAAAGTGCAGAAAGACATATTTCATGGGAAAATAGTTTGGTCCTTTTCATTGCACATTTCACTCATAATTGCTTTATGTCACTCAAATAAGACAATACATTGTATATTACATCCCAAATGAGATAATATATTACTTCACGTCTGTTCCAAATGTACACTTCATATCTTATCCGTACATATGAGAATTAAGCTCTTTGAGTGACAATCACTTAATTTTTCTACAAGAAAAACCTTAGACAATCAGGTAACTACTAAAACAGCAAGTCTTACTTTGGAAAAGGTAGGTACGAAAGGTACAATTGCAACATTTCAGCATGTTTCTATCATACAGCTTTTTTGAGAAGTACCTGTTACATTTATAGCTATTTTATTGAGCAACTTCCTCATTTAGTGTTGTATAGAATATGTTTTGTAATATGTGTGATACACAACACTAGCATTTGCTGTCTGATGCTCCATGTTGCATTGTCTTGTTGTCATTCTAATAAATTGGAAAATATGTCATTTATAATCATTAATAGCAGCCACAGTTATCTATATAGATGTTTCTATATTTGCAAGCCTTGTAGAATTCTATAAAATGTAATTTGAAAGATCGTAATGTACATTTTTTTTTCAGTGATATAGAAATCTGTAGCACTTTCATCACAAATTTTGCCAAAATATAATAATATACTTCACCCATAGTTCCTACCTTGTATTATATTAATTATTCTACCAAATTGAATAACAAAATGTGCAACAACAAATCTTACTGAGTCTATGGTGAACAAGAATATCCTTAGATAATAGTCTAGGCATCACTTAACTTACTAACTACTAAGTACTGATAGGAAAGGTGAAAACTTGGTGAATAAATAGATGAATAAATATAACAAGTAGCACCTAAATATGTGTATGTTATTCACATGGACTGTTTTTTGAAGTTGGTCTCTAAGACTTTGAGAGGTAACAAAAGTGGAAGAAAATGGAAACATTCAATACTTTTTAAATACTAGTTGTCTGGAATTGATTTAAAGATTTTAATTGAGTTTCATCCTTTGAAAACTAACAAATTAACATACCTCAAAAACGATGTGTTTTCATAGCTCTTATTTATTTAGTTATGAAGATTTACCACATTTGTGGAAGGAATGACATAACAGGTGACTATCACCTTTTCAAGATGTCAAACCTGAGACCAGACTGTAAAGTTTGAACCACTCGCACTGGGAAGTTCCCCTACTCTTTTTGGTGTCATTATAGCTCTTAAGAGTTATATTGTCAGCTCCTGTTCAAATGTATCATATTAAAGTCCCAAACAACACATTGCCCAATCAAAAAAAATGTTTCCAACCTCCAAATTTGGCTGAAATCTAATGAACGACAAATGATTCACCTTTTCACCTTTCATCCCTGTTCTATGGCACTGCAATTCATGCTCAAAGATCAATTATTTTGACTTATACTATACAGTACAATTATTGGCAACTAACACTGACCTACCACCCTTGGTCACTCCTAAGATAGTTTACAAAAGTGTTCTAATTTTTAGTCAGAATTCTTTACAAAATACCCTTAACAAATGTGCAGATGTATCAGTACTATCATGAAAGTTTATCTGTGTTGGTAGTTACATGTATAAAGTTAAAACTTAAGATCCAACACAAAGAAGTTGACCCAGTGAGGAGCCACATTGGTCAAACCTGGTCAAAAGCTCTTGGTGAGAGAACTTCTTTGTGTTGGATCTTAGGTTTTAACTTTAGACAGATATATACAGTAGTTAGTAGAGGGTCAGTGGTTCTTCAGTGGACATTTTGCATCATGCAGATCCAGGAGCGAGGAATCACGTAGTCTGCATAGGAGTCCTGAAAAACACAACAATGGTGTGATAGGGTAGTGGATGGAGAAAAAAAAAACAGACTGACTTGTCTGATGGACTAAATTTTTATATAACAGCCAGAATATGGACTACAGAGACAGAGTCATTGGTCTAGACGTGCTATTCCTATGACAGGGCTCAAAATACCACCTGCATATGCAGGGTAGTGCAGGTAAAATTAGAGCTGTGCAGGTATTTCTGATGTCTACCTGCAGCTAAATGGGCTATGCAATGGGTATATATATATATAGTGGATTTTATAATGTTGCATTGACTGTTACCGGTATACCACCTATGCAGTATAAAAGAAAAAAATGGCAATGGTTTCTGAACAGTTTTTAGTATGATCCATACTTTTTAAATTCTGAGTGGTGCAGGTAAAATCTGTCTGATAAAGGTATAGTTTTCCATGTTACAGTACGTCCACCAGGGTACATATGCAGAAAAAAGTATGGCGAGCACTTTACTTACTCCATGTATACTTACCTAGACCCTGGGACAGTTAATCCTGGCATAATGACAATGGTTTCTAAACAGTTTTTAGTATGACCCATACTTGCTAAATTCTAAGTGGTGCAGGTAACTTTCAATATTATGTACATGTAATACTATGTAGAAGTACTAGTAAGTATGTGGAGCACTTTACTTGCTCCATGTGTAACTTACGTAGACCCTGGGACAGTTGATCCTGGCGTACCACTCCTGACAGTACAGACACATGAGCAGGCCCATCCCGGTGAACAGGCCCACCCACAGCCCGATGTTCCACATACGGGACGGCTGCTGGGGCACCAGGAAAAACAGAACCACTGCGGAGGGAGAAACACATATACATTGAGTATTTTCACATTATTAATTGGTATGTCTGGTACAGTGAACCTTCCAACAGTTTTTCTTTACCTCATACATGTCGCAATGTCATTATGTTTACCAAAGGAAAACATATTGTTCTTGCTCTGTTTCCTCTTCTTCTCCAAACCAATGAGGTCAATGACCTGAACCAGTTGCCTGTTACCATGGTAATTAGCGTTGGGTTACATCATGTTGCAATTCTATAGCATGAGGAATTCAGACTCCTGTCACCATATACTAGTACATGAATGTGTTGGAGTAAGAATTACATTGTAACAGAGCAGACCATGTGCAAAGCTTTGCAAATGTTACCTTTTTAGTTTAAAGAATTGATTCCTTCTTCTACAATACAAAGAAACAGTTTTGGTATAATTATTTGTCAAAAACTGTCATTGAGTTACAATTAGTACAGTATTGTTAAACCAATACATTAAAATGCCCATTGATAGAAATACAGTCAAGCCATACCACCAAGAAGACCACTCAGCTATGTGGACAGGTGGTCACTAGGCACAAAAAGTGTTGCACATTGGAAAGGTGGACCACCGTTATATTAAGGTTTGACTGTACTAGGATGTACTTACCCCCAATGCCACCAAACATGCAGAGCAGGACTGGGTAGAAGAAGCCCAGGGAGAAAGCAATGATGTACTCATGCACGATGGCAGACAGCACAAACACAGACAGGGCAGCATACGTCTTGTTATGGTAACCAAGCAGCTGAACGGAAAGAGAAAAATCCTCAACTTGTGTCATCTATCGTAAGGCTACATCAATTTAATTTGATGGTTCTCGGATTTTTTCAGAAAAAAAATGAAGCGACAGGGCGAAAAAAAAGAAAAAAGAAAATCAAGTCTAGGCAATATTATAGCCCCAAATGCTACAATAGGACCCATGAAGTCAACACAAACAGCTGGGTTAATTTTTGAATGAAATTTTAATTTTTAATCAAACCACTGCATTGATAGATTGAAAAACTGACAGTAACAACTAGGAAGAAAAGGACTTTCCTCAACTGTTGGGGGCAAAATATGAGCCTTTTTGAGTTGATTCAGAACCAGAATCTTTTTTTTTTGCAAATCAGAAAAAAATGAAGCGGCAAATCTGAGAACCAACAAATTAAATTGGTGTGGCCTAAGGTTGCCTAACTGTTTTAAGCTTCATGTAGGATGTTTTATACAGCGAAGTCACAATTGTTGTTGGTCATTGTACAATACTGATGCAGCAGGGTTTTCAAGAAGCCTGTGACTAAACAAACCACTGACAAGGATCTAAGACCCCGTTCACATTTTAAAAAATGGATCCGGATTGAGGGCTGATTCGAATCCAAATTCATCAGTTACGGATCGTTTTTTCGCAGTGTGAATGCTCCAATCCAGATTGATTTTCTCTGAACCAAATCAAAAAGTAATCCACCTCAAGGAGGTAGTTCAAGACTCTTGCAGCGGATCCAGAAACCGTGAGTAGATGGGGTTGTGAACGGGGTCTTAGACAGCCTTTTTGGTAAGAAGATAGCTGCATTTTGTACAATGTCGGTTTGCAATCATATGACGATCTCACAACTAATATGACCAGTCCCATAGCAATTGCTAGTAACAAGCCATGTAATATCAATTTCAATGCAGCAAAGTATTAGACATTATTACTGTTACCGTGTAGAAAGTGTCTGAAACTGTAAGTCATTCTGATTTTCTGGCAATACATCTGCATATTAGACCAGCCTATAGGAAACAAGCTTGTATTACAGCATAATTTAAGCCAAATGAATTTTCCTTGCAGCTTTACTGACCAACATAATGTCCTTGTAGATGTAATAGTAGAGCCAATCGTGCACAACTACATTCCAGGACCGGTAGTAGCCAGCAAATGATGTAGAGTTCCACCAGTCCTGGAAACAACAACAAATTTTTTTTAAACATACAGAAGTTACGTCGGTGTATATAAGATACATGTATGCCAAAAACAGTTACTCAAGCAACTGGATGATTATTATTTTGGACTTTCCTTTTGGACTTTCAAAAAATTTGTCTTAACTCATTTGCATATCAACCAATAGTTCGTACTTATAAAAATGCTTTTCTGACAACTCTCCAGTGTCACTGACGAAAGGTAGTGGATGCTACCTGAAACGTCTGACTGTTTCCAAAATCATATCCAGTTGCTTGAGTAACTGTTTTTTTGGCATACAGAAGTTAAGTTAACATAAGACATCAACACAACAGCAAAAATCACGGAGAGATTGCTTTGTATTTTTGGAGAAACGTTGGCTCAAGCCATGGCCAGGTCATACCAAAGAATAAGGGACATATACTGCTTTCACTGTTTAGCACTCAGAGTTATGAGAAAAAGTATGGAAGCTATTATAGTGCTTGCAAAAATGTTTGACCCAAGGGCTATAGTATAGAAACAGACATAGGCACCACTCTGTACACCAAAAGGTGTGGGAAGGATTTTAACTCATTAACAATTAACATTTTGAGTATACTGTATACTGATCCGTAAATAATTTCATCAGGTTGGTAATCGACTGAATAGCAAAGTTCTTTTTATCACAACCATTTATTTTTCAAGCCGACGTTTCCATGACCTTCTGTAATCTTCATGAGGGCAATTCTGACTGGTTTACTCACGGTGCACTGACACTAGATGTTACTTGGTGCATAGTGCAAGGTGGTACATAGTTCATAGTGCACTTAAGCTAGTTTTTTTCTGTTTACAATACATTCCGATGTATACAATGTATACTGATGCTGGGAACTAGCTAGGAAAGTACCTTGTAAAACTGTCGATCAGCAAATCTCAGCATCTCTGCAAAAGCGTTTAGCCAAGAGTGGAGAACACCGAAGAAGATGAGAAACAGGACCAGCATGCCCGGCAGCATGGACCCAAAAATGGCCAGCACCAACACCTATGATGTAAACCAGCATTTCTTACAATCATTTCTAAAATATGGGAATAAAGTTATTATTCATATTATTCAATAATCCTAAATATTATGTTAAACAATGTTGAACATGGTTGTGAAAACCCACTTGTTGTTGAATAAAGGCTTAATGCCCTGCCCCGAGGTGTATATGATGAGATAATCCCTGGTCAGGTGCAATAACCACCAAATAAACCACCAAGTGAGCAGAGCAAATGAGGTGGTTTATGAGGTGGTTATCGCACCTGATCAGGGATTATATCACAACATACATCGAGGATAAGGCGGGGCATTAACTCTAATTATTCTAATAACCGACCACTTTTGAGGTTACGGCCTGATAACCAATGGCAAATGGAGCCTTCTGATTGGTCAACGCCTTCTGGCCATATGATAATAAAGAATAGCTTATGGTGTAGTTATACAAGGACTACCTTAATTCATACATTTATGGATACATCATAATTCATGTGTAGTTTTCCAAAGAAAAAATCTAAATCTACTTTCATGACAAATATACAATGTATAGTAATTTATTATTAGTAAATTGACAAAAATGGTGACCTTTGAGCTTGTTGGTTCCTTCCCGATGTTTTGGAAAACTGGAATCATGAAGCGCACCAGAACAAAGTTGGCGTAGACAAGACAGCCCACAACCTAAGAGAGAAACACAGTAAAAACATTTAATATGAAATGTAAATTCTACATAAGGACAGTAGCATTTCTGATATCTCCAATCGTCTTATTAATTGCCTTTCAACTGTTCTAGATGACATAAAGCCACACCAATTTAATTTGTTGTTTCTCGGATTGGCCTTGTCCATTTTTTTCTGATTTGCAAAAAAAATAAAAAATTTTTTGGGTTCTAAATCAACTGCAAAATGCTCAATGAAAGACATATTTTGGCCTTAACGGTTGTTATTCAATGTAGCAATGCAATTTTGTTTCATTAAAAGTTCAAAATCTATTATTTTAATTATAAACCAGCCTGGTATGTTCACTTCATGGCTCATATTGTAACATTTCCAGCTATCATGGGGTGCCCTGGCCTTTTTTTTTTTTTATTTCGCCCTGTCGCTTCATATTTTTTTCTGAAAAAATCTGAGAAACAACAAATTAAATTGGTGTGGCCTAAGGGATGAAAGTATATATCTGTTATGATTCTTTATACCAAAAATATTCTCAAAGGAAACTGAGGAAATTAATTAACTGTTAATTAACAACTTTGATGACCTCACCTGCCCAAAGTTGCTGACCACATAGTTCCACCTGATGGAAGGAGTCCTGTAGAGGGAAGTCATTCTCAACATTATCCTCATCTTCTGCTTTATTTTCAACTTTTAAAGGCATCCAAAGCAGTTTTTAGGGCTTGAAAACCCGATTTTCAAAGTCAATGTTCTTAGTCATTTATCTACATACTGAGTTGAAACCACACTATCCTAATGTATATTGACCTTCATGGAGCAAAAATTACAAAAATTCTGACGAAAAATGGTCAAGGGCCCTGGCCTGATTTTTAGGGTACCACCCAGAAAATAAAAGACTCATCTTGGGGCCCAAAGTATGAAATGCTAACTCATATGTGAAGCTGTATGTGCCAATATCACAAAGATTGCCTTAAAGTAATCAGAATATTTCCAATTTTGCCGCCCTGAAATTGCATTGGATGTCTTTGAGATGTGCTCAGCATAACTGTCATGTTCTCTTGTATGAAGTCTTTTGCCTTCCCTACGTGCTACTAAAAAATCCAGTATTAAATGTATTTCAAGGCAACAGTTGACCTTTTTTTATTCATAATTGGGTTTAATGTTTACTCTATATGCTCTCATCATTCAGTTTACCATAATAATCTACGAAGTTGGGTTGTTTGTTAAAAAGGACTCTGATACTGAAAGACATCCTCACATTGTTTTACAAACATTCTAATCTCTCGTCAGATCACGTTGATCAAGTGATCAAGTGATTGGTCATTCATTATCCTGATGAAGGCGACATTGCTCATTGAAAATTTGATCTCCATTACTCGTTATGTTGGAATAAAGTTCAACATTTTACTATGATTGCTACTAACACAGATGTCGACAGGCAACATTATAAAAAAATGTTTTCAGAGAAGTAAAGACAAATTTTCCCTACCTTGGGTATTCATCCCTATAGACAAGAGTGGGGGCAAAGAGGAAGTACAGATACTTGGAGAAGTCTGGACACAACAGACACTTTTCAGGTCCATCAGCTGAGGAAACTGAAGAAATAAAGACAGAGTCATTCCTGTTAAAACTTGGAGGTAAACTATCATCAACTGTGAAATAAAGCTATACCACTGGACCACTAGTGTTTCACAAAACTTCTTAACGCTTCTATTTTATTTCTCTTCATACATAATAAACTGTAGTGCTACATGTAAGATTGTAACTACTCTAGTAAATGGTAAACCTTTTAAAACTTGATTGCACTGACTCCAATACTAGTATTTAACACTTGAGTAATCTATTTACATCTTTTTTTTACTGCACCCACCTTCTTTTGTCTTTAGAACTTTAGGGGCATTGTCCCTGACAAAGGAGTGCACTTTCATAACCATTCGTACCTGAAAACAACATGAATACATAGGTTGATAAATTACTCATTTGTAAGAAAACATTGAACAAAGTAGTACAAGTTTGAGGTTTATTGAGGTTTATTGAGGAAAAACTCTCCTTTAGCTGCCCACCCGAGGGTGGCAGCTATTCTTCCAGGAGAGGGTACATACATGTAAGACATAACAATACATCGCGTACAATTACATATACATTTACATTACATTGGAATTTAAAAGAGAAGAAATGTGTAACATCGTATGTGCTTTAAATATTCATGTCCCTCATGTGCTTTAGCAGGCCTTGTTTGAACTTCTCATGTACAAGTTAGAGATAGTAGCAATACACCAAAAAATTCTAGTTTCAAACTTAATTGGAGAATGTTGTAAGTCCTTGATTGATTGACAGGAATTTCAAAGTAAACACAAGGCACCTACTTGTTCACAGACAACAATGAGAGCAGCAGTGGGAGGTAAGCTGTGGTAACAGATCTGTCGGAGGGGTAACCAGCCAAAACCGGCTTGGTAACCAAGATACCCCACACAGTACAACCAGTCAAACCAGGCACCTGAAACACAACACACATTGCTGGAAATCACTTTGTATTCGTGGTAGCAATGTTTTGCGGTCTGACTCTGAGAAAAATGGTCATGTTTGCGGTACTATGTGTTCGTGGTGGCGGCAGGTGCAGAAGAAAGAAAGTCAGGGAAGGGTTGGTGGAAAAACTTAATATCCAGTCTGGACTGGTCTGGGGAGGTGGAAAAACCTGTCCAGTCTGAATAAAGGGTCTGCATGGGGGTTCAATCTCTTACGTTACCAGCATTCAGACTGGACAGGTTTTTCCGCCAACCCAGTTGGGGGTTATAATTATTTGTTTGTAGTAATGATAAATTTGCAGTACAGAAGTGACCACAAAAAAATGTGAGTATAAAGTACTGCAAATATAGAGTGACTTATGAAAAACCAAAAATGAAAAAGGCAACAAGCTTTTCAAGGCTTTTGCCTTTGACAATATGTTTTTGTTAGCCTATGCCTAATCTCACAGTAAAACATGCCATGTCCCACGTACGGTGAATCAGTCATGAGTGCTAACATATTGTGTAATGACACTGAGATGTGCCAAAGAAACATGTACCCACCATACTTCCCTCTATTGTGAGCCCAGTGGTTAAAGGCACAGTAAACAGCAATGGTGGAGAGCTGCATGTAGACCCACGTGTGAAGAACAATGGGCATCCTGTCAAACGCAAAGGACACCATCGAAAAGTCCACCATCCAACTGAAAACAGAACCCAGAAGAAGAAATCAGACAAGTGTGTGTTACACAGTACTTTCTTCTTCTATAATTGCAGATTCATATTGGCTTCTGTAATTGTGAGGAATTACTGCATAGGAAGAAAAAGCACTTGGCAATGTTGCACAGTCATTAAAGATCAATCTTTGTTACAAAGTTGGGGTGTTCCCCAGGGATTCATTATAGGCCCATGACTACAATGTACATGTATGAATGACCATAAAAATGCAAATGAAAAATTTCTATTCCCAGCAAGGATAAAAACTTTTCATCCAGTTTAATTTGTATTCATAAGAATTGAAGACAACAATCTGGTTTGCTATAATAACTATCAGTAAGAGACGTCAAGTTTGAACTAAATGCAGTTTGCACTCTCACCTTCCCTTGTCTACAATGTCATACACAAAGGTATTGATCATCAAGACTATCAGAATGGCCACGAATATGTGGTAGATGGTCTGAATGTGCTGCATCTCAAACAGGTCTCTGTGGTAAACAGAAACAACAAGCTTGGGTTTTTTGATACTAGATTAACATAATGGTACAAATATAATGGACACAAGAACAAGTAGAATGCTTGAGTGTATAAACTTGTGAGAAGCATTTATCATCTAAATATTAGTGAAAGAGTATATTCTAATACAGAATTAGATACTACATGTATTAGTAATACTATGTAATTATAGTATCCATTCATAATCTTTATTTTGACCATCTATATTTGGCAAGAATTCAAGATATATAGTTTTTAGCACTGTGAATACAAATATTGCCCAAATATACAGCTTAACAAAAACATCAATTGAAAGCAATTATATATCCAGTACTTACGTTAGAAGGGAATCTCTTGGTACAAATATCTTCTGTCCCTCTCTGGAATTCGAGTTCCTTTAGAGAAAAGAGAGGAAAGTAAAATGTCAAAATCAGACAGTACTATAAATTATATGTTGAAATTTAGTGACCCAAATTCAGAGCTGTGCACCCAATTTTTTTCTGTGGTTGCAACAGTGCACCCAAATAGGTTTACGTATGTTGAGATGTTAAACGTATAGTAGACTTGGCAGTGTGCAGCATTTAACATCTACATTTTGTAAGCGTCAGAAAAAGAATAAAATCATAGTAGTATTTTATTTTTGCTGACAATCTGCCTATTTTATTTTATATGGCGCACCAAAAAAATTTTTTGTGCACCTAATTTTTTAGCTTGGCTGCACCAGTACACGTATTCCCAAAAATGAATTTCGAGGCCTGTCTAGTAATACACACTGTACACTATATAAAGAGGTGAAGTTAACCTTTGAACAGTGCCATTCCCATTGGTGTAAGGTTGTTGGAAAGTGTTGACCTCCTGAGTCACTTCATCAAACAGTTCTCCCAACTGACTGTCAACCTGCCTCAGGAACTCAAGCTTCTTGCTCTGAAGGTTCGACAAGGAAAAATAAGGCCACAGCAAGTAAATTTTATGGATGACATCCTTTGCAGACTCCAAACCTAATGCGAGCGCCGGGTGAAGAAAAAAACAAGGCGGACCCAAAAAACAAAGTTCCTACATTTTAAAATTTTGACTCAATCATTTATACAAATGGTTTTGATTCAGTGGGAACATCACATATACACAGCTCAGAATCTTTAGATATTAATATACCGGTTACATTGCAAACATATAATTCTAGCGGGTTCCTAATGGTGTTTTTATGCAGCAACAACAGATAATGAGTGTTGAATACAAATATTTGTCTGAATAAATTTGATCACCCACCTGTATTTTGTCCAGCAATTTCTGCATCTTGACATGTTTTATTGTACTCTGTGATAGATTTGGTCCCGATCTTTGAACATCTGCTGACAGAAAAAGGAAACATGTCAACTTCTAATTTGACAAATGGAAAAACTGTAACCACTCGGAATATCTAAACTCTCTTTAAATGATGTTGTCAAAATATTACCATTTGGGGGATGCATATGATTATGGCACATGTGATCTTTTAATCTTTTTTTGGTCTCATCAGAAAAAATCAAGTATAATTTGGATCTGAGAACCAAAGAATTACATTGCTGTGGCCCAAACAGAACCTGTTGGCTCTTCAGACTTATCTCTCTACAATGTTACGCAACAGTAATGAACAATTGACCTTTGGCATTCAAGACCACAGGTCTAGACCAGATGCGGTGCGTTAAAGTTTAAAGAGGGCCTGCATGCCCTTTTTCGTACTTGGCATAATCAGGCCTTTTTATATATTAGCCTTCATAATCAGTAGGCAGCCGTCCAAAATCAAAGAAATTCGTAATCAGTACATTAGCTCTAAAGCGTAATTTATCGTTTTCATTCTACGTAAAGCGTTGGCAGCTTAACCTTTATACAATGTAAAACATGATCCATAAACGCAGGCAAAAATAATATCACTACCCCCCATGCAGGCCCTCTTCAAAGGTTGGCGTGTGATCTCCGACAGTAAACATGCCACCATCAGGTGATGTTGTACAAACAACACATAATCAATAACTGTCTGTAACAGCTGATAGTCTCAGAACCAATTGTATATCTATCTACTAGTATATACTCTAGTATAATAAGTACAAAAGACAGTCAGAAAATGTTACAATCTCCCACACAACATCTGTCAGTTGAATGCCAGGCCCTAAATCTGCTTTGAGAATAATTTCTTGCTGTCAGAAAAGTACAGCAGTCAAAAAACGGATCTTCTGCGGGAGGTGAAACCAACATCTGCTTGGAGATCATAGTAAAATACACTCAGATCCTGAGTCAGCCGGATACAGCATGTTTAAGTTGTTACGTATTATAAACGTGACGTTTGACTCTGAGTCTGAAGAAATCGTGGAACGCTAGCTTAAAAAAACGCTTGCCAGAAAGGAAACCCTTCAATGAGACTGGTGTTAGAAACATAATTAGACGAAGGAAGCTAGCAACCAGTTGAACAAGCGATACCGGTAAACTATTTTATTACACAACTTCCTTTACACAACGATGTCATTTGACATGGAAAAAACTATGTTTTCTCGTTCGTTGTACACATTCCAATCGCAAAACAGAGTCTCTTTATAACCCAGTATGTCTATGAGAAGTTACCTGTGTCTTGATCCCTTGGGAGAAGTTTTCTTTGCCGCAAATCGCTGGTTCTGTCTTCGGGACTTTTTTCAAAATCCCTCCCGACCTCCATTTTGGCCACGTCTGTTTGGACTATACCATTGACGATATAGGGGAAGTTATAAAGCCAAATATGCTTGTTCAGACTGTTCATTTTCCGTATATAACAGTTAGATAAAGATAAAAATACTAAAAATTGTTTTTTTAAATGCTACAAAATACTATAAGAATGTCACAATTGTAGAAATGTATTCATAATAGATTCACTAGTGGGAAGAAAGTAGACTCTTCCAAATGTATAAAGGCGCAACCATTTAAATTTACAGATGGGTAGGAGCCCTGGGTAGGAGCGCTCGAGCAATAAACCTCCTTGGTGGAAGCAAGGACTGTGTATAATTTCCAATGGTTGAAGAGATAGAAGTCTTTCTATCTTAATGTTCACTACTAGAATATTCACTTTTGATGCCCTGGGTAGGAGCGCTCGAGCAATAAACCTCCTTGGTGGAAGCAAGGACTGTGTATAATTTCCAATGGTTGAAGAGATAGAAGTCTTTCTATCTTAATGTTCACTACTAGAATATTCACTTTTGATGGCCAAATGAATTACATGTGTAGTTCCTTTTCAGGATACACAAATGACAATGAGCGAAGAAAAACATGCGATTTTGTGCACAATCAGGTAACAGTAACGTTAGTTACCTAAAGCACTTTTACTGTTTTACTAAGAGTCAATAACGTCAAGTACTTTGTTAATAAATTTAGCTGTCATCAATGTTATATTTCTTTATATAGGACAAAATAGGAGAAGGAAGAGGAAACAGCAAAATATATCTTATAAGCAAACGTTTTACACGCTATCTTTTATGCAATTTGGACTAGCGCTATCAAGGAAGCGAATATTCAAACTTCAAATGCCCCCTTCACGTGACAAACAAACAAAACAATTCATTTACAAAAAGAAAATGATATTATATAATAAAGAAGATTCAAAAGAAGGCTAGGGAGATGCTACTGGGTGGCAAAATCTTTTAAGCACATTTTGAAAGTTTTTTTTTTCAGTTTTACACCTTTACAATTACAGTACACTCACTCAATCGACCTCGCTTCGCAGGAATAACCAATACCAGGCTTCGGAAGCAGATGGAAAGAGTAGAAATTGGCCAAATAGTCTATCGTGGTTGGGGCAGGCTGTCTTCGGAGCTCTAACAGTTTTCTCCTGCCGGATAGGTGAGTTACGCCTGTAATAGAGTTTGGCACGCCGGGACACCTAGCTGAGGCGGGCGGGAAAGAGCTTCAGCAGCCCCGTAGAAAATCCGCCCCAACCGCAATAGACTGGATACCAGGTTAGGAGTTGGTCCGCTAAAGAAGTAACGTTACTAGTATATAAAGTCCGCCGCTTCAAACATGATGATAATCATAAAGGCTAGGCTCTTCTGAGTTCAAAAGTTCAAAAGACCCAACGATGAACCAAATACTAATTTGAGGGTCTGCATGCTCTTTTCCGTAAGGCGAGTCAATACTAACAAGTTAAACACTCGGCGGAAATACAAATTGTAATTTTTTGTAACATGAAGTTCGGCGGAAATACAAATTGTAATTTTTTGTAACATGAAGTTCTCTCCTCTGAAGAGGGGCAGCTGAAGAGGTAATTTTTCAGAAATACTTTTTTTTCAAAGAGTCGTTCATTCATCAAATCACATCAAAGACCCGCTTGGGTCACGTGCAGACCTAATCACATGACTCTTTGTAAGAAGAACGAAACATGTGATGCGACAGTGGCTATTAGGTGAAACCACTTGGTAAATGGGGTTTCGTATCTTTAATTTATGAGCAACTACAAAAAGTTTATGACCTACTTACCGATGTAAAACTCACTCATATATATTTTCCTCTCTGTTTTGAAAGTTTATGCTAAATGACGTTCATTTATTGATTGAACCAGCTTTTATATAAAGGCCCACCCCTAAAATATCAGTGGTTTAGACCAAAGCAACATGGAAGCCAAGTTGTTCCTGCAAATCTTCATCTTGCAACTTCTAGGACAAATTTTCCTAGTTTTTGGACAGCAGTGCACGCAGTCAGGGGCCTGCTCTTGTACAATGACTAACACAGGTAAAGTCGTCGACTTGGAACCTCTGGCTAGTAAAGACGGACAACCAAGGTAAGGGCATAAATTTATTTGAACTACGGGGCAAGTGATATCTCAAGCTTACAACATTTTATTTGTTCGGAGACGTTTTTCAAATAGAATTATTTGTGCAGAACTCTAGGAGCGTTGACAGAGTGTAAATAGTTCACTGAGAGCCAAAGGGGAAAGTGTAGTATCAAAATATGGTACATAATTGGCTCCTAGAGGAGCGACAATAATGTTTATGCATGGTTACGTCACAGCCCTCCCACACCCACGTACTAAAAAACAGGTGGGTTGGAAAGAAAGGCATTTTACAGGTGGTCACCTTTAACTACAGAAACGTAATTATGATTGTGAATATCATCGTTGGCCATATTTTAGAGATTATTTTGGTCCCTAATTTATCAGCCTGAAACTGAAACTCAATCCGACCTGCACCATATTTGAAGAAACTTTAAAATTTCATTTTCAAGCAGTTGTAACAGTGGGGGGTTATAGGCGCTACCAACTGACTCGGCCGATGGGTCTAGACCTTTTAGCTGAGTCGTTTGAGCGTCGGATTTTGAAGCTGGTGCTCTGGAGTTTCTGTTTCTACTGCTCGCCTCAGTTTCTTACACAGTATCAAATTACCATTTGCCACCCCCAAAAAAGTTACCCGTAAAAAAACGAAACCCAGTAAAACATCTAAAAACGCATCAAACCTCTGCTTGGACTTGGAGATTAGTTTTGTGATTGAAGTCAAAATGATTGCTACTATGCTTGATTTTACACGAACTTAAAGATTTTAAAAGCAACCGATCAAACTAAAGTTGCGCATTATAATTCATACATGTGTCATAAAATGGCGGCATATGAATTACTCAACAAGTAATTTAGGTCCAGAGGTCCCTCTAATATGTCTTAGAAGTAAGTATAACATTAGTTAACACAGTTAAGGTACATAATGATATTTTTCATTGTATAGGTTTATCCATCAAGATACAGGTGGCACATTCTTCTATTACAACCCCTGCACACCATTCAAGAAGGGAGATGTACAGGGAGAATGCCAAGGAAATGATGTTGCCGTAAGTGATCACTATGTTTTTTTCTGCATGTACTCATTTGCATATTCGATCTCCCAAATTAGACCATGTAGCCATGTCCTTTTATTACTGTTGCCTCATTCAAAGGAGCCATATGAAATACAGGCCATGTTCAACTTGGCTGTTACATTTTAAAACAATGGTAAGGCACGCTGGCATTTTCTGGTTAAATGTTGGCACTTTTAAAAGTGGAATTTTAAAATTTTAATCCAACTTCAACTTAGGCCTTTTTTTCCCTATTTTTTAAGACTATGGCTATCTCTAGTAAACAATACAGTTTAACAAAGTAAAACTTGCATGAGGACACTTATATTTTCAATATCACTTTTGGAAAACTGACTACATACCTTTCATCACTCAGGTGTCAGATCATGGAGCTAGAAAAGGTCGATCAGCTCGAAAAATTCATGTCCCTTGCAGGGATCCACACAAAAAAAGGCTAGAATTGACAGTTTTTTCTAGGGTTGGTCGGGAAACAGGAAACACAACATTTTTTTTCCTAGGCCTAACTAATGGGCTATTTCTTCTACTTAGGCCTGCCAATATGACGGAGCTGGATACTATGACATCGGTGATCAAAAGACTCTAGCAACATCCTATGATACCAGCACTGGAGCAGTACTCTTTACCTATAGTTCTTCTACTACTAGGTATGTACATGTATATACTATCCCTGTAAAAGTTCTTTCGACTACACTAAATGTAATACAGTACAATGTATTAGAAATACCCATCTGCAGTCTGCATTTTGCAGACATTTTCAATATTGCAGAAGAAAAATTAAGTAACCTGCAATTTTGTGTTTACTACTGACTTGCATATATTTTTCAAATTGCATATAAAAAGTTTGGATTTAGAAGACTTTTAAGTGCATATTTGCAGAAAGTATTTCTGAATTGCTGAACAAAATGTTGACTTTTCTGCAGTATTGCAGAACACTAAAAAAAAGTATTTCATACCACTGTTAATATGATAACCACTGCATTTCTCTGAAATGTCTCTTGAAATTTGTAATCTGTGCCAGTTTATAGACATGGAAGCTTCAAGATTTGTATGAATTTTCTAAAATCTATGTGAACTTTATGAAAAACAAAGCACTCCGCCCAGGTGTGAATGGGTACCTAATTTCGGTTAGGGAAAGTCGTATTGAGGTCACCTGGTGGCGCAGAATGGCAGCCGCACAGACCCTTGCGACAGTACCACAAAAGTGTGTGTGGAGCAAATATGTTATATGTATCATGTGTATTTGTGATTGTAAACCCTGCATCAATTTAGTGCTATAAAAAGGCTGCGATTGCACGGGTTATGTTTGACCAATAAATCATTTATTATTATTATTATTAGGAAAAGCAACGTCCACTTAGTTTGCTCTACCAGCAGCACTCCAACTTTTACAGCTGTGGAAAGTCCAGCTGGCTCAGGCACATTTGTAAGACTGGAGTCTCATCATGGTTTACCGTACAGTGTACTAACCCTGACTTAATTTCTTGGGGAAGAGAAAATACAAAATCAAAGCAATTAAAGTGCTGCATTAATATTTTACATTCATGTGAAACAGCATGGGCAAAATTGCAATGAAAAGTGACAATATGAAATCACGAAGTTGATTTTTCTAAAGTTTTAATTTTTTTAAAAATTCGCATTCATGATTTACAATTCATTTTTGAAAAATGATGAATCTTTTACAGTTTCAAAATGATTATCTTTTTTTTATTCCAATAAATCAAGGAATTCAAATTCATATTCAATGCCTTCTTCCATTGATTGGAATAATAAGAAATTGAACTTTTGTCAAGTCATGAAAAATCATTGTCAATCCTATATACACCATACATTGTATTGTTCTCTTTGCTTCTCCAAGAAATTCTAGTTCAACCCAGATATTAAGGCCATGTTGATATGATTATATGGATGACATCCGTGCGCGCATGAATTTTTTGCAAGAAAAAATTTTCAACCACACTGTAAATGATACAAAACAGTCAAAAAATGAGCAAATATATACCGTAGGTTGAAAAAAAACAACATTGGAAAATGATACCAATGTCGTAGAATGCCAAAATCAAATGAAAAAGACAAAAATGTAAAATAATGAATTTGAAAATTAGATTATTTGCCTAACCATATTCTGTGTCATTTGTTCAACCTTCAAAACCACGTAGATTTCATGATGAAAGCAACTTTTTTTTTTTGCCAAACATTTTTTTATCCGCACGCTCCCATCAGTTTTGGGGTTCCCAGAGGATGTCATCCATGTGATCAAATCAACATGGCCTAAGTTTTAAGAGGGTTTGACTGAATATAGTCTGACTAACCCAGTGACTCTTTTTGCTCGTGTCTGTCCTTCTCTCTGTCCTCCCTGTCCTGGTGTCTCCTTCTGAATGGCCTACAGGAGTACAGAACTTCTCCTGGAGTGTACACAGGACCCAGCAGTACAATTCACTGCTACTGAAAAGACAGGAAGTCCTGGGAAATATGTAAGTCCTTGTGTGTTACATGTGCTGTCTTTTCATTTATGCATTTGCCTTGTTTTCTATGGTTTCCATTAAGATTTTGTAACATCTGTTATTGATTTTAATTTTTTTTTGCTATTCATTTTAATAATATGTTTTCTGTTGAAAAAAACTTTTGTTATATCTTGTCTTTAATTCTTCTTTGCTATTCATATAACTCTATTGACAAGACTTTTACATTTTTGTTATTGCCTTAAATTCTTCTTTACTACCCATAAATTTTTATTTTTCTTGTCATCTGCAAGTTGATATTCGTGCTAGGTTTGGAATTGTTTGCGAATTTGGATATCATTTTGCTAATTTTGTATGTCTAGCCTAAAATAGTTTATAAGATATTCAAATAACCCACCGGACGTCTTTTCACATATCGTTGAAAAGGAGTCACGGTAAAAATGAAAACAGATGAGGAAGGAAGGTACATCATTTGAAAGTTTACAGTGTACAGTATATGCACAGATAGTAGAATGTTAACAGGTGTAGCAGGCTGGAAGGTACCCCTAGTCAGAATCGTACCCGGGTATAATCCACCCAGGGTTACATTCCTGCCTGCTACACCTGTGAATACTAAAGTTTTGTGATTGGGTTTCTTTCATGTCGGCAGTGTCTTTAGCGAATGTTTGTATTTCCCTTCGTGACAGGTGATGACCATCAGCAGCCTGTGTGTGTGCCCTGGGAGGTCAAAGGATTGCAACTCTGCCGGCAGTGCCTCAGGGCTCAGTCCTGGGTCCACCATGTGTATACTGTAAGTACACTGCAACAATGTACCATCTCTGTACAATAACAATGTAGTCCCGTTTATCTCCGTCACGACCAATGGAAGACTAACTCTTCAGTGAGCGAAAACTGGATTGAGATCACTTTCCTTTTCCTTTTTGCTGCATAGTTATGACATCATTACTACAGAAATTTTTCAACCCGCAAATTTAGAACACAGTGAAAACCTACCTTGAAATGAAAACATTGTGAAAATTTGAGAATTTTGAGCAGTTTCTCCCATCTCTTGCTGTAGGTTGACAGTGTTTGTGCTGGTGTACGTGGCAGGAGGGATGTTGTTCCTCAGGTTTGCCAGAGGAGCAGAAGGAACCGAAATGATCCCCAACTACGAGTTCTGGGCAGACTTCCCATACCTAGTGAAGGTGAGATATAGACAGCATGTCACCAGGACGGACTTTGTTTTCTGCCAATTGGACTGGACTGCTTTTTCCACCAACCTGACATTTTAAAAGTGCAGACAGGGTTGGCGGAAAAAACTGTCCAGTCCAAGTGCAGACAAGGTTGTGTTCTCTTACATAAGAATAATAGCCACCTTTGCCAATAAAATTATAGTAGGTATCCTTCCATCTCAAAAGATGGTGTTGTGGCCATGTGCAGCGTCTAGTATGGCTAATTAGCCCTATCATCACAGTTGGGACACAAGGTTGAGATATTTTGTGGTTGTGGTTGATATTCCGAACTCTTGTTATAAGTTGTAAAGATCCCACCACACCTTTCGAAAAAGAGTAGGGGCATGCCCCGGTGTGCGATGGTACAAACACTACTGTATGGAGTTGGTGATTCACTTCAAATCACCCGAATGGAGGCCTGGCGAACCTCTGTTCCGTATCAGCCACATGGTGATTACATCACCACACATGGTGATTACATCATCACCCGGACGGAGGCGTGGCGAACCCCGTCTTGTATTAAGCTAACGAAAGGGTATGTCACCTCGTAAGGGCGGTGTAAGTTACTATAACCCCGACCAATACGGTCGACCGATGATGATGATGTTATAAGTTGACTAAGGAGAAAATAAAGATGCGTTTAAATTGCTTGAATTACAGAAAGTTGTATTTGTACGTTAGAATTTGAGCTTAATTTATAGATAGATACGAAAATGTGGAGACGTATAAAAAGATTGAATTGTTATTTTTTGTTGTTCAGGATGGCTTCACGTTTGCCACACGATCGTGCCGAGGGGAGGAGGCCTACGCTTACGAGAAGATCTAACACTTGGACCAGATCCGTTCCGCCATATTCATCATCATCATCATGGCCGCAATTCAGTTAAACCTTAGGCTGAGGTCATCACCCCTTGAAGAAGAATGGATCCAGCCATCTCTACTTTTACACAGGGCTGTAGCCAGCTTGAAATTTTTTTTCCATCAGCCCAGGTTTGGATTTTCAAGCCTTCAAAAATGCAATTTCCTGCATTTGGAGAGGCAAATCATGGTGTTTGAGAGTGGTTGTCGATGGTCCTTCAGATGTTTTCCTAAGATTTTTGTTAATTTTGTCTGTCAAGGTTGACTATTGGTTCCGCAAAGTTCTGGTAGTTCACGGAAAAACTGGTGCTGGCTAGAGCCCTGCTTTTACATCACAACAACACTCAACACCATTAAAGCAGGAATGTCCCCATTGTAATTTTCTAGAATTTGTTTTTTGATGTTCTGATAAACACATGGCACCTAATAGTGACATATACCTGTCTAAAGGCATTCCATAAACTCAGGGTAGACCTAAATGTTACAGACTGAAGTAACGTCAATCAAGGGCTGTCATTTGCAGTATGTACTTAAGTCCCATATATTATACATTAAGACTTTTAGGCCACACCAATTTAATTTGTTGGTTCTCGGATTTTTTCAGAAAAAAAAATGAAGCAACAGGGCGAAAAAAATAAATAAATAATAAAGTCTAGGCATCCTGTTATAGCCCCAAATGCTACAATAGGAGCCATGAAGTCAACACAAACGGCTGGGTTAATATTTAAATGAAATTTTAATTTTTAAACAAACCACTGCATTAATATATGGAAAAACTGACCGTAACAACTTGGAAGAAAAGGACTTTCGTCAACTGTTGGGGGCAAAATATGAGCCTTTTTGAGTTGATTCAGAACCAGCATCTTTTTTCTTTTTCTTTTGCAAATCAGAAAAAAAATGAAGAGGCGAATGTGAGAACCAACAAATTAAATTGGTGTGGCCTTAGGTAAAAAGATAAATAAGTTGCCATGCCATCTTTGATCAAAGAATTGGATTTTTGATTTCCCTTTTCCTTACTGAATTAATAAAAAGCCCAAAACTTCATGTGTGGAGAAAGTCTGACCAAAAAAAAGCCTCTCTCCTTATTCCGTATAAAAATGTTTTCCAGAAGTCAAGCACCTTGGAAAAAAACATTGACTGTGTCCTAAGATTGAACCTCTCTGTGCCTGAAGAATTAATATTAATCTGATGAAAAAGAGTAATTTCTATATTCATCTAGTCATGTAAATGTCTTCAAAATTATAACAAATGACTCCCATTTTCAACAAACCAAGAACTTAAAATGTCCTTGAACAAGCTAGTTTCACTCGAACCCTATATATGTATATATATGGCAAAAGTATTGAAATGTTTCAAAATGACTTTTAGCAGAAAAAACAAATCATGACTTGTTGGGGACAGCTCTATATTACCTTTTCTAAGTCTAGTAATTGTAGTCTTTTAACTACTATTTGGAGGATACAAAAACTGGATTTCAAGTACAAACAGTAAATAGTAATTGTGTGTAGTTGTGATAAAATAACTGCAGTTAAGTGGCACTTGTTCAACACAGCGCCATTTCTGGTAAGATATGTGTGTTTGGAATTGCATATCTAGAAGTTATAACTAGATGGCTTATAAAGTTTAATACCAAAACTATGTAGCAAACATCTGGACTGGATTAATGTTTGTCTTTCTTACCTAAGGCCACACCAATTTAATTTGTTGGTTCTCGGATTTTTTCAGAAAAAATATGAAGCGACAGGGCGAAAAAAATAAAAATAAAAACAGGTCTAGGCATCCTATTATAGGCTTAAATGCTACAAAATGAGCCATGAAGTCAACACAAAAGGCTGGGTTAAAATTTAAACATTGAATTTTGAACTTTTAATCAAACCACTGCAATGGTAGATGGGAAAACTGTAACAACTAGGAAGAAAAGGACTTTCCTCAACTGTTGGGGGCAAAACATGAGGCTGATTCAGGACCAGAATCAAAATTTTTTTTTTTTTTTGCAAATCAGAAAAAAACGAAGAGGCGAATCCGAGAACCAACAAATTAAATTGGTGTGGCCTAATAATAGTATGAACCAAGCTAAACTTTTATTAGTTCTCAATTGGTTCATTTGATATTTATGTTTACCAAAGAAAAACATACTGTTTTTGCTCAGTTTCTTCTTCTGAACCAGACATTTGTCACCATAGTAACTGGTGTTGGGTTACATTAAGTATTGCAATTCTATAGCAGGAGGGATTTAGACTCCTGTCACCATATAAGTTACTTACATGAATGTGTTTGAGTAAGAATTAACAGAGCAGACCATATATGAAGGTAAACATAATGCATTTGCATTGCAAATGTTACCTTTTCTAGTTTGTAGTGTAAATTCACTAAATTCAAAAGTGGTGCCAGGTATATATTGCTCTTGTTAAAGTCATAGTCATGATCTTCTGTACATGTACTTTGTACTAAGCAAAGCGTGGTAAGGTTTTGCGCTGCATTGTAGTTTGATAAATTTTTTCTTCATGTAAAAATGTAATAGAATGTAATCATACATTGATGAACTGAACTCATTTAATTATCAAAACTTTAATATCATTACGGCATTTTCTGACAAATGTGATTGGTACATGTATTAATTTGGTGATTACCAAGGAATGATAATATTTTATCAGTTATTGTTTATCATGTAATGCTACCCTTATCGTGTAAAAAGTTCTTTATTTGGGACATTGATAAGCTTTCCATTAGCAGATTTTACGTACTAGCTACTTGAGGCTACTTTTGTTTTGGTTTAACTCAGTCAAACATTTTTTTCTTTATATATTTATTTTGCCTTGGAGCTGCTTTTCTATTCCTAATCAAGGTATTGTCTGTTTAAGATTGATTGTCACAAAATGCTTGAAAAGAAATTGTTAAAGATCTTTTTTGATTTTTGCTTCATATAAATTGATGATATAAAAATGTTCACAAGGAAATGGATGTAGTCACATGAGTATACAAATGTCTTTGACTTTTCTGCTAGGTATTCAATATAATACCTGCACAGTATAGGTTTAGTTTGCATATTACTGAGATTGTGCCATTTTTTTTGTAAACTTTTATTTTCAAAAACATTTTTGTAGGAAAAATACATATTAAGGTGCCTCTAGATCTTTTACCCCCATGATAAAAGTCAGTCCTGAAAAAAAGTGAATGGGTGGTTAAACATTATCACATGCAGTTCAGTTAGCTGGTTGGGGAATTAGAAAAGAATGAAGATTAAAACAATTGCATTATAACTGCTTCTCTGTTGTAAGTCTTACACTGAAAGCCAGTGGCAGTGAAAATATTATATGTTTATGTTGCTTAAGTTCATTTTATTGTATTAAAGATCTTGGTGTGAAAATCATAGTCGTATTGTAAGCATATTAGTTCAGCAATATCATGTCATATAGTGCTATTTGTATATATGGTTGTATTTGGCAGAGGCTTGAATAAAGGTTTGTCTTTTGGTGTTATGAAGGCAACTCTGAGTACTCTCTCTCTCTTTCTTTGACCCTCTATTTGTATAGTACATGTAACGTAACGTTACATGTAGTTTTGCCTGCACTTTGTAATAGTCTCGTAAGGTGGCGCTGTCACACTGACCTGGACATGGCTGGAATCCAAAATGGCCGCCATGCATGCCAAACTTTCACGATCACGACATGAACTTAACGTTTTTGTCACTCTTTGGTGGTAAATTGGAATGACACCGACTTCTAAGCCCAGGTAAAACATTCTTTTAAGTCATCAAGCGTGAAAGGGTCTAATCTGAAGCGTCGATTGGCTTGGAAGCGACCATATAGGTTTACCGATTCGTAACCGAAACTATCTGGCAATATACTTCCGGGTCTAACGAGTTGACAGAAATTATAGTTCTACACACAACAACATGGACGTCAGTGCGCTAGAACTAGACGCGGTCAGCTTTGCCAGCATCGCCGTCCGACTCGACCAGGAGGGCAATCAAGACGAGGCCATCTTTTACTACCTGGTAAGGCGAGAATGTTGTGATTTTTTTGGTACCCCCCTCCCCCTTTAACTAAGGGTTGATGAATCATCACGCAATTAAACGCCACTCCCAGGTACCTATGTTGTTGTAGCCTGGGTGCCAGACCCATAGCAGACCCATAGACAGATAGTGCACACTGGATAACTTGATCTGGCATCCAGGCTATCGTTGTTGTCACCCCAAAATGTGTTTTGTTATCTTTGAGAGATGTACTAGTATAATGTAAAATGTGTTTTGTTATCTTTGAGAGATGTACTAGTAATGCAATAATTGTGTCTACTTCATACTCCATTTGTCATGATTATAAGTACGGTGCACATGGAAGACTCGCGTCAAGATACAATAGATGTTGTGGATGAAGTTTTGTGAACCATTACGCTCGGGTGCAAGGTGCTACACTGAAGTGAAATACAGTCAGCTGTGCAGCTTTAATCGTTGTAATCTTTATCTGTATATATTAAAGCTCGTGTTGCGCGGGATTTTGGTGAGACAAACTATTACCAAATGTACATGTATGTGCGTTTGCATGGAACATAGGTTGGAATTAGGATCCCTCCCGTTAGGATTCAAACCCAGGACCTCTTGGTCTTGAGCTGAACATGCTACCATTTACGCCACACGACCCCACATTCTCGAATCTCCAAATGACCAAGTAATTGACGCTCTGTGGAAAAGGAAAAAAGGAAAAGTCTCCCATGCTCTTATGCAGAGCGTAGGGTGGTGCCCATATCCATTTCCATAGCCCTTGGGCGACACACAGTTGTGCAATGCACTACAGCAGGGGGCTGGTCTGCTGGTAGTGCTGTGTGTTTGACCTTTCCACACTCTTTCACATAGATGCTGAGTGCTAAGCAGAGAAGGAAGTGTGTACCATTTTTAAAGTCTTTGGTATGACACGGTCTGTGGACTCATATATAATGCTTTATTCTTTCCTTTCAACTTTTCCTCCCTCAGGAGGCAGCTGAAGCACTGCGTAATGCCGGTCAGGCGGGATCCAAGATGGCGGTGGTGGAGAAGGCCATGGAGTACCTGGACAGGGTGGAACAACTCAAACAGATCCGTAAGTCAGACCAGTTCTAACCAGTGCAAACCAACCAGGTCAGGGCTGGAAATTTCACCTGCATATGTACATTAGTACACGTAAAATTGGAGCTGTGCAGGTATTTCTGATGTCTACCTGCACCTGCACTGACCCATGTACTAGGTTTATACACTCTTCACTGTGATGCAAGTGACAACAAAATGAAAATTCAATGTGATTGTGTGACCGATAAAAAGTGATATAAGGAGTCAAGAAAAATTTCAAAGATTTAGAAATCTGACAATTGTGAACGTATGTATAATAAGTAAGAGTAGGTGTTGACATGTCTTACTAAGTTACTTGACTGTTATTAAAGTACTCTGAAATAAAGATAAAAATATATGTCCTCAGCATTTGGTAAACACTGGACAAAAGTTTAAATATTTGGACAAAAATTAAAATTTTGTGTTTACCCTAACAGTAGGTTCATAGACTAAGACATTATAATATAATAAGTAACTTACACTACTAGCTCTATGTTATGTCTTACATATAAGTTCATTTTTATCGTTTATCATCTCCGTGTAGGCACAGGGGGCGGAACCTTCCAGATGAAAACACAACAACAGGTATGAGATGAGACTAAGAAATTCAACTTTCAGGACTGGAATAACAGCAGAGGGCTTTTAGAACGAATGAGTGAATAAAACGGAATGAAAATGATTTTTGAAAGTACATGTAATCTTGAATACCCTCTCACCATTATGTAATGGGGAGATGAAACATGAAAACATCTGGAACCGTGATGTCATCATCATGTCCACAATGTGGCAGCTGCAATTCATATTTCTCCTGCAAGGGGTCCTCATTGACCCACATTGGACAACTTTAATACCTCAAACAAATTTGGTCAGGAGTAGTGCTACATTTTTAAACAGACTGAAAATGAAGAGCAAAGATAAATAAGTTGTTAACTTTGCAGGAATCCTTTACAAAGTATAGAATGTATTCAAAGCTGCTGTACTTTAAGATTCAAATGCGGTGCCTTTAAAAATTTGAAGAATTAACTAAAGGTGGTCAGTACTCCCAACAAATTATGATTTTGTAAAGTTGCTACTTTTTAACTGACTGAAGGTTAAATGAATACTCAAATGCAGATTGACCTTGAGAGGGCACGGTTCCTGATCGAGCAGGCGTTTGAAGAGGACGAGAACGACAATAAGGAGGAGGCGGCAGAGTTGTACATGGAGGCGGTGGAGCTGTGTCTCAAGGCTGTGAGTTTGTTTGTTTGTTTGTTACTCCGTGAAGGAGGTCAGGACCTCCGGACGGAGTGTTGTAATCGGCTGATTTTTCATGTTCGCAGTCAAAACACTGGGTTCTCTTCGTGTAATCGGCACGCAATTTTATACGCCGTCTGCGGGCATGCCCGTGTTGATGCACGAATGTGTATTTTTGCCGTTGCTGCTTTCGCGGTCAATGTAATATCGCAGACGCCACCCCTACAATTACGAGGCGAATTGGAACGGTCCAGAAAAACGCGTTGTTTGGAATAGCGGGGGGGGAGGTAAAAGTTCATGCAGATACGGGGTGGTTTTTATAAGTGGTTCCAGATGTTTTTGCCCATGGTTAAGAGATGCCAAGTTTTTTGGAAGATGTTCGCAGCCAAAACGCATTCTGCCGTACGTCGCATATCTGTGTAATTTCGCATGTGGTGTTGCATTATGTCCGGGATGATGCACGTCTTTTATTTTACCGTAGCTGTTTTGATATTGGAGTAAATGGTTATTTTCGAAACATCCCTACTTTTACAATCCTGTGGAATAGACCGTAGGTTTAGGCAGTTGTCTGGTAGCAGAGGTACTGTAAGCAGATATCCTGGTTATCTGGCCGGCGGTAGTAACACTCGCGGTGCTTACCGCCACTGTTGCTGGAATTTGGCTTGTTCCAGGCGCGCTTAATTAGGTACAGGCACCGTAAGACGGTGGGGCTGTCTTTGTTACTAGACACGACCATGATAGTCCGATCTTTATGTGAATGCAATGATTGTGTGTGTGTAATTAAAATGAAGTTAGAACTTGAAGCACAGTATCTTTACACGCCCTGGGAGCAGTAATGGATTTAGCTCTTTGTATGTTTTATGCTTGTGACGCGCCCTCATTGTATTAACCCACGCTCCTCCGCAGCGTCCGCTAGCGCGCTATAATTAAATCCACATCTGGGCGCGCGGCGGGGTCCCCAGAGCAACACAGTGCGGAAGCATTAGCGTGTATTTGTGTCCTGGGGCCGAGAACGCATTTTGCGCAAAGCATGCTGGGTAGCAGAGTGAACTGTCCTGGGGACGAGAGTTTGTGGCGCGGGCGGAGAATGCCAAAACTCCCTCCGTGGCTAAGTTCCTTCCGCGACTAACTCCCTTCTGGGCAAATGTAGAGGGATAACGGTACACCCTCATAGCGTCACCAAATGAGGTACTTTGTAAAGGTCCGTTTCATTTGGTATATATTACCATTGTGACAGCATTTTATACCCCAAAATAGGAATCTTGCGTCTTGTTTTAGGTCCCGATAGTAGAAAGAATGCAGTGTACATGTATTCAGATGGCCGCCGTGTAACGTTACGTACTAGCGAGCGCGCACGACAATACCGCCAGAGTAGAGTAGGTTATCCTAACCCTTTAGATAGCGCAAAGAAAACAAAAACGACAGATTTGCATTAAAGAAAGTTTATTTTCCATAGCCTGGGCTAAGCCACGATCTATAACCTATGGCTTCTCCACGGGCGCTGGGGACGAGCGTGGTATTAACCGTTGCCTAATTATAATGTCTGCACAGTAGGTCTGGCGTTGACGCTTGGGATTTTGTTGAAATATATAAAACTTCACGGAGAATTGTCGCCTATGGCTTCTTGTTTGTTTGTTTGTTTTGCATAACCGGTAAACCGCCTTCAGGTAAAACACACCAGTTTTGTACAAGTTAGTACAAGCTGCGTAAGACCGGACTGTAAGGTTTAAACCACTCACACCGGGAAGGACCCCTACTCTTTTCGATAAGTCCGGTAGGTTCTTTAACGTGCGTGGGATGTGGCTCTCCCCAAACCCCAAATAATCTAAGTCAACATTTCGGCTTACTATTACTAATATAAAAAGTTCAGTTCCGTTCACAACTTCAACAAAGTGTCATTGATAGTAGCAAACTTTGTACAACACACTAACAAGTGTTCCGTGTCCCTTTGATTTTTGAGTTGTTGTTAAATTCTTTCTTGGGCTTACTCCTGAACTCCTTACAGTGTTAGCAGATGTCTTATATCTAGATTTGACTGAACACAGCAAGGATAACGACAAATCTAAAGCCTCTCTCCTTGTTGTGACTGTCAAATATTTGTGAATAATTTACAAAACAATAACAGTGATATGTCATGTCGATCCCAAGGGGTCCGTTTTGTGCAGATGATGTCTTATAATATTTGTTGACCACTCGGAAAGTGCTGAAATTAAATCCAAATCAGAAAGGCATACTCCATCATTCCTTGGTTAATTCCATCGCTGACGAGAAATATGATTATTATGGAATGATAATTGGGTTTGTGGACTGAAACTGTACAGATATCAGTAGACATCAAGTATTAGGTGGTGGGTACACAGAATTGATTGATGTTCGTTTAAAGCTTAAAGATCTGTATATACGTAAGTTAAGGTCACACCATCTTAATTCATTGGTTCTTGGATTTGCCCCCTTAATTTTTTTTCTGATTTCCCAAAAAAAGTATTCAGGTTTTCTCCTTTTTACAGTTTTCCATTTATCAATGCAGTTCTTTAATTCCTTGTTAAATTATAAGCCAACCTGGTATTTTAACTTCGTGGCTCCTATCATAGCATTTGGGGCTATCATAGGTTGCCCAGATGTTTTTATTTCTATTTTTCACCCTGTCAAATTTTGGTTAATCCAAGAACCAACAAATCAAATTGGTGTGGCTCTAAACTCGAAATGAACATTTTGTTCCTTGCTTTATTTGATTTATGATAATAAAAGTCATGGTTCTGTCTTGTAACATGTTAGATGCAAATCCTAATTATGAAATATAGGAAGGACAGAGATGTGTTTAATCCAACAAACATTTATTTCAATGTACACTTCCACAATATTATATTCACTTTACAACAAATATCGAAGGTCTTTTACACAAATCAATATGTGTGTCATGATCAGGGGTTTAAGATTGCAATCTGGCTAGAGATTGTGATTGGAGTTTGTAAATTCGATTCATGTCGCTTTAGATCAACAGATTGGGTTGAAACTCAGGAATCCGATTTATAAATTGGAGACCACCCTAACACATTCCTAGAATCCTGATCGCAATTTCTGTCGACAGAGACTCCAACCATTTCACCGATTCTGCCAGCTTGCAATCTATATCCTGATATATATTTCCTGATATATATTTGAATGTTAAATATCTATATACAGATAACCATAATGTATCAGATTGTGCATTACAATATACAATGTAGATCAACAAAGTGTTGTTCGGCATAAACAATATGTTTACCTCTCAGTACTCTAGTTCTGATATTGACTATCCAAAAATACTTTTTCTAAAGAGTATATTCATTCATTATCCTCTTACATATTGAGTAATTGGTAATATCATAGATAATTTTGTTATAATTCTCAGTATATCTGAGTGATATAGATTATACTAGAGATAGGACAAAATATAATATGTGACCCTGAGATAGAACCGTACAAAAATTGTCCAAACCTAGACCCAGGCCAGTGGCAAGACCTAGGTGTGTATGTAAAATAGTCCCTAAACTCTTCGAAACAGAAACAGAAAATTCATCAGTACAAAATAAACGGGAAGGCAAGTTGTAGTTTGCTGCCTGTCTGAATGAAATAGACTTACTGATTCCATCCATTGCCCCCCTCCCACCTCAGGTGCAAAAACCAAAAGTAATTCACTGAGGCATATCCACTCTGTCATTGGTTGATAGACAGCCGGGATTGGTGTATTGGGTTTTTGGACATTTTCAATCATTTTTAAGTTAAATAAGATTGAAAAGATTGCTTTGAGAAAGATTGACGTGCTTGTAGATCACTAATTTAAAAGTAATTGTGTGATCATTTGCTTAATGAAAAATTGTTTCTTGTGCCAAAAATAATAGTGAATTTTTAAAGCAATGTGGGAAGCTTATAGAGTACCCTGTGTTCTCCTTGCATCATCATTCATGGTTTTTGCTTGGATCAGAGGAAAAGTTCAAATTGTATTGTGAATACATCTGGAATATGTGAAATATAAAATTTTCAAGACACTCTAAAGTGAGGGCAGTCTGCTTCTATCATTAGAAAAACGCATGTTGAACAGATTTGAGAATTTAGTTCATCTGAAAACCTGCGTGGAAAACCTAACATGGAACAAATATTTATTTTCATTACTTTGTAGAGAAAAGAGACAACAGATGGAGAACTACAAGCCAAGCTGGGGAAATTGGCCACAGATGCAATAGAAAGGTAAGATCTTTTATCATTCCTAGGCTGTTTTGTTATAATAATTGTTGTAAATGTTGTTGTAAAGAATAGAGTAACATTGACTAGAGGCTACTAACTTCTTATAGTTTTCAATAAGAAAAACCCATGAATATTGTCTGTTTTGGTGTCTTAATATATTCCAGTGCCATGACCAGGAATGTTCTGTAATACTGTTAATAATAATAATAATATAGTTTTCTTTCATAATTTAGGTTAGATTCTTGCATATTGTGCCTAAATACATATCTTGACAGATAAAATATCTGAGATTTTATAGTGAATCGATGATGACATCTTTTCAAGAGTATTGAGTATTATATGCATGCTCACTACACAGTGTTTGTATTAAAAAAATAGTCCTACACATGACAATACAGTGACAGTTACAAATCCTTTTAACTTGTTGTTCAGACAATCTATTAGTTTTCGGCCATTCCAATTCCACAGGGGTACCTGTCCTTGGTGCTGAAGACCTTTCAAATAGCACCTGTGTCAAAAGATTGATGTTTTAGAGCTATGTCATATTTGTCACATTGGCTCATAGACCATTTGGGATAGGTAAAACGCTTAGTAAAGGTCCCGTGGCAATTTTTAGGCCGTAGGGGCTATGGTATTGGAAGATGGAGCCCTCTTCTTCCATTATACACAATGTATATTGCAGTTTTACCTCCCTAACCAAGGCAGGTACCCATTTTATGCCTGGGTGGAGTAAGGAAAGTGGTGTTAAGTGCCTTTCCCAAGGACACAAAATCTAGCCATGAATGCCAGGAATCGAACCCATGACCGCTTGTACCTTCTGCTAGCCTACCACTGGGCCGTGGACTCCACTCACTGATAGTCGAAATGATATGTTATTTATCTTATGCTGACTGTTACACATTAATACAGAAAAAGTACCATCAAACTGCACAGAATTACATGTAATTACCATCTTTAGTTTAGACTACGTGAACTTACAATAAGAACAATATATCTTTCTGCACTCATTGACATTTACATAAACTTTAAATTGATGATACTAAACTATCCATAAAATACATTCAAATAGTATTACATTTAGTACTTTTTAAAATTCTTACATTGATACCATTGTATAGCAAAGCACTAGCACTACATAAAACATACAGTACTAACTCAAATGGCTATTCTTAATAATAATACATGTGGGAAATTATACAGTTTATAATTATTCATGTACTTCATTCTCTCCATAAACCATTTGACTTTACAACTTACCGACAGAAGTATGCCACAATTTGTGTCAATTTATATGATAAGTCATCATGTATGCTATACAAATTTATTTTTCTGACTTTTTCTGCCACCTAGGCCACATGCATGTTTGTCTTTGATGCTGAGGGATTGTTCATTGGTGAACTCACATTGCCACATCCTTCAGTGAAGGTTAACATTTCTATTCAAAGCCTGTTTTGATGACTTTCATGCTTACATGAGTGTATCCTCCAAAGCAGTTTAAAACAGCGTTATGTATTCAACAAATATCAGTAATTTTTCAGTCTAGTGAACTACAGTAATTGTTGCCAGTTGAGAACAAAGTCAAGTGGTGGGTTATTCATCATAGATATATCAATGTTTGTCAGTTTCAACTGCTTATCACCAGATTTTCCAGTTTCAACTACTTTGCACCAGAATATCCAGTTTCAACTGGTTTGCACCAGCATTTTCCAGTTTCAAATGCAGTTTTGTATACAAAACACATTCACTGAAATGTAACATCTAGACGTAATTCCTCAAGGTCACATATATCCACCACCCTGAAAAAAACATCTAAAAGATCTCCAATGCAACTTCTGCCAGTATAATGCTCTTCTGAGTATCTAAATAGTGCATATACCTGGGGAATATAGCACTAGGGGTCTCGCAACACTGTATTTGAAAGCAGCACATACCGTACGGTACATGTACATGTATGATATTATGTGATCTGGCAGATAAATATTTATGGAGGTTTGTAAGATTGAGAGAAGGCTTTTTTTCATATTATGTTGCTCACTCACACACTGTACATTGCACTTTCCAATATTTAGTAAAATAGTATACATATTACCTTATTTACATACTAGTACTTCCCAAATATATTTCTATGCTACATGAACTTTTAATAACTGACTAGAATAACTTGTACTGTACAATGTCTGAATAATGAGGAAACAGCTTCTGTAAGTTGTTAGACCAGGATTCCTCCTCTTAAAGTTTGCTCTTTTTTAATATATAATATATTGGCAAGTAGACTATTCAAGATAAAGTACATTGTATAAGAATATACAAAACACAAACAAACAATATTCAATCATGTACTAACATTAATTTGGACATGGAGTTTTGAAATTCCTATTTACAAGAATTGTAGATTTGTACAATCATATTTAACATTTTTGTGCATGCCGATCTTCTTTTTCCAATTCGGAAATATCCACCATTTTACTTGTCTACTCCAGGATTCTGACATTTAATTCTGTGAACTGATTTTTTAATTGGGATGATTGGTTGTTAAGAAAACATGATTTCTTTTGTGTGGCAAACATTTTTTGTAGATTTGTAAAACAGCTAAGATGTCACTTAATTTGAGATGCAGCCTCCAGTTTTGTAAATCAAGATGAGGGATTTCATTACAAGTTTATACCTCAAATGTATTTTGTAGAAGATTATTACTATCATCATTTACGACATGACATCACTTGGCTTGTCCATGCTGACACTACTGTCTCTATTTCTGTTTGCGTGCTGTCTCAACTGTACCATCTGAATATCCACCATGTGATTGCTGTTGTGATAATGTCCGCGGGGGTTTGTTTTACCGTAGACTTGCGTGGTCTTGTCACCGAAGTAGCCGTCGTTGTAACGTCTGCCGCAGAAGCACCTGCGGAAGAGCGCGATGTACGCTTGTCGGAAACTTCGGTTCATCACGCCGTAGATGATACTGTTCATGCTGCTGTTTAAGTGAGCGAGGATGATAGCCATCACGTAAACAGGCTTCGGCCACTGTCCTTTTGAGTCCACGAGGAAGATGATGCCGTACGGTGTCCAGCAGAACGCGAAGATGATGAAAATGACCAGGAGCGTCTTCAGGAGGCGGAAGTCGCTGTTGGTCATCCGGCCCCATCCCTTCTTCTTCGTGTGTTCCGACACCTTGAGGCTCTTGTCCATCCTTGTGGACTTGTTCGTCGCGGGCGACTTCGGAGGATACTGGACAGACTTCGACGCCTTCATGTAGATGATGGCGTTTTTCCCGGACAGTTTCGCAAGGTTCTTGCGGCTCTGCTTTACGTGGAGGTACAGGCAGATGTAGCAGAAGATGACTACGCCCATAGGCAAGCCCAGGCCTATCAGGACCAGGAAGAGGGTGT